TATTACAAACATTCAGAGCCACAAATCAGTTATAATGACAAATTGCAGAACAAAGCAGTGTGAAAATAGGAGCTGAATACACACAATTTAAGAATATAAATAAATAGGGTGGTGGAAGAAGGGGGGGGCAATAGAGAGGTGATGGTGAGGGGTAGTGGAAAGGGTTACAGAGGGCGGTAGTGGAAAGGGTTACAGAGGGCGGTAGTAGAAAGGGTTACAGAGGGCGGTAGTGGAAAGGGTTACAGAGGTACATAAAGAGATGTAAAACGTGTGAGCTTAAAGGAAAAGTGAAGTTGAGAAGAGAGGAAGAAAATGTTCTCTTCAAAGAGAAGGGCTGAAGAAGAGAGAAGGAAAGTTGATTAGCGAGGGAAAAAAAGAGATGAAGTGGAGAGATAAGAGACAAACAAATATATATGAGAGAGAGAGAGAGAGTGAGAGAGAGAGAGAGAGAGAGAGAGAGAGAGAGAGAGAGAGAGAGAGAGAGAGAGAGAGAGAGAGAGAGAGAGAGAGAGAGAGAGAGAGAGATAAGAGGTTAGAAGCACTTGAGAAAGGGAGAGAGATGTTAAAAAACAAAACAGCATATAGACATAAAAATAGAAAATACGGTGAATAATAATCTTTAAAAATCTGAGCTGAGATGAAGCAGCAGACGGCAGATGCAGACTCCAGGATGCCCACCACCACACCAGCATACAGTCCTCCCTGACACCTATACACCCTCGTTTGACGGGTAAAATCGTAAAACCGGGCTCACCATAGCCCGTGCTACTTGGAACTTCTTGTTCCAGGTAGCGAATCTTTAACAACAAGGGTAAAACCATTTCATGTTTGTACCACACACCAAGAGCATAACAATGACCATTCACACAATCGCATCAACTGTGCCAATACCGAAGCTGGACCGTGGACACGACACCTGTCCGCCCCAATGGAGATTTTAATCTATTAGGCTGGATAATAGTCGATTAAGGGGTTAGATATCTTTTGTTTCAGCGGCGTTAGTGAATCGCAGTTTATTCTAACTCACACTAATTGTGTTCTAACTTACACTAACTGTATTCTAACTCACACTAACCGTATTTAGTCATATTTTCTACAGAGTATTTATTTATATATATTCTATTTAGTTTCTATAGAAGCATAGAAAATTATATTTTCTATGCCTCTGCTCACAAGGTTTCAAATATGCAGGCGATGAGTCACAATAACGTGGCTAAAGTATGTTGACCAGACCACACACTAGAAGGTGAAGAGACGACGACGACGTTTCGGTCCGTCCTGGACCATTCTCAACTCGATTGTGGTCCAGGACGGACCGAAACGTCGTCGTCTCTTCACCTTCTAGTGTGTGGTCTGGTCGACTGCTTCAACGTTCTGGAGTTTGTGTATCTAAAACTAGACTAGCTCCTCAGCTTCGCCAGTACCCACAAGTTATCTGTAAACATAGATATGGACAGGCAAACCACGCTAAAGACGGGCAAGTAAGCAAACTGAATGACAGGCAAATAAAAAAGAACGACAGGCAAACAAACATAACACGCCAGCAAGCAAGCAAACATAAAAACAAACACCTGACCCGCAATGGTAAGCTCAGTTGGGTCACAAGTGTTTGAGCGAGAGTTCGATTCCTGCACTGAACAGGAATCGAACCGTTTGAGCACGTTTCCTTGCACCTGCTACCGCTGTTCACCTGGGAATTAGGCGAGTGTTGTGGGGTGGCAACCTCAGGGAAGGTCAGGCGTTGGGTTAGATTACAAAAAAACACCAGTAAACAGTCACCCGAGAGTAAGGGAACTGTTGTGGCTTGAATACTGAGGAAGTCAATTGTTAGCTTCAATGCCTGAGGCCAAACGAGCTTCCTGTCTTCTGAAGAATTTAAAGGTGGCATCTCCTCACTACGAATCATAACTAAAGAAAGCGCTCTTGAGTTATTAGACCACATCATATGGTATTCTGGGAGATTGGTGGCTATACTACGTCTAAAAATTGATTGATTGGTGAATATTAAGCCACCCAAGAGGTGGCACGGGCATGAATAGCCCGTAGCCAGTCTAAAATTGTATTCAAAGAGATTATAAACAGTCCTCGTATGAGAGAGGTAACTGCCAAGCAGCATTTTCTGAATCATTTAACGCTTATCATTTACCCTTGCCTCGAGAACGCAGACATTAATGTTTCAACCGCTAAATGGCCGACGTTTACCGACCTTATCTCGTGTATTTGGAAAACAAATATGTATCAAGACAAGCATATTTACCTCCCCCCTCCGCCAACCTCTTTCTTCGACAAATGTTGTTTTATTATATATCGGTTTTATTTTCTCCTCATGTTGATGCTACCTATAACCTTTCCACGGGCTAAATATATGTGCAAATTGTACATATAGTTGATACAGTTATCATAATAATAATATATTCACAAGAAGGTACAATGGGTGGGTGAGATTACATAAGATTGGTGTTTGTATATTCATGAAAAGCCTAGCGTATAGCGTAAGCCACACGCATAATATTTCAGGCAGAAATGTTTGCCCGAAACGTTCGGGGGTTTAGTTTGTGGTAGAGAGTATAAACACCTCGGGTCTTCTCTCACGCTCCCATAAGTTCACATTTTAGACAAGTTAGCGTAATGATGGTCCAAGGAATGGTGAATTAATGGAAGGGGGAGAGCTGTGAGTGTGTGGGAGGGGAAGGAAGAGGAAGATCATGATGTTTACTGACTGAGGGAAGATCTATGGGGTTGTAGGCATGGAGAATTTGTAGGTGAAAAGGATTTGTCTAATGTGGTTTAGTGGGCGGGAGGATGAATTTGCATATAGAATCGAGCAACAAGGCAGGATGTACTGTATATAAATATAGGATCTAGGCTTAAGGTAAGTTGGATTTACATGTAGGATCTAGGAACAAAGTAGGATGCATTTACGTGTAGGATTGAGGATCAAGGAAGGACAGATAGGGATAGGGATATCCCCCTATATATCCCTATAGGGATAGGGATATCCTCCCATAGTATAGAATAGGGAATAGGAAAAAACAGATAGGGAATGGGAACAATATTTATTTGTTTTGAATTTGTGAAGTAAAGGCAGAGCCCTGGAGCAGGACACGCGTAAAGTGGTGGCCAGGACGGTCAAACTGGCCTGAATATTGTACAAGTAAACATTAAAGCCGAAGTAAGCAACCAAACATGGCGCTCACGTACCCGTTCACTCACTCACTTATTCACACACTCATTCGCTCGCTTGCTCACTCACTTACTCATAAACAATGGCCAGATATTTATGAATCCAGCCGCCGAATGAAAAACGCATTTTAAACACGACTCACAACTAATTACGTTGGAACAGTAACAGAACAACGTTCTCTTCCTGGGTTCGAATCGCATCTCCCTAAATGGTTCACCCATATACTGTAAATACAAATAACCATCAACAGAACCAAAATACACATAACCTAACCTATCCTAGGTCTAACACTACACTATAAAATTATATAAATATAAATGTACACCTCTAGTTTCACTGGAACATTATCTAACACAGTGCACAGTTACAAACCCATTAAGATTTCAACTTAGATTCAACAGAGCTAAAGAAGTTGTTAAACACATATGGCAAAATCTTACTGAAGCGACCATACGAGTCATAAATACTCATGCACCGCCCAAGTAAAACAGAAACAAGCAACACTTAGTGGGCCAGCCAGAGGCTTAGGGCCCGCGCAGGAATATCCCTGCAAAAAAAGTAATAACTGGAAGCCCTAATTCCTCTTTGTGGCACAGTTACAGCCCCGGTCCTGTATGCCAGGTAAGTCTTCTACGGGCTCACCATAACCCGTGCTACTTGGAACGTTTTATTCCCAGTAGCTGAATGTAAAACAACAAACAATCCTCGCTGTGGTTGTGCTCCACCGCGATAATAAGTTCAAGTTCAAGTATGTTTATTGAGACAAGAAATAAATACATCTCAAAGGGATAGAGTAGCTTAGGCTATTTCTACCCCCCCCCCCCCCCTTAAACCGCGATAACGTTTCTTTTTCTTGTTAGGTCTTAATAATATCGTGCACTTTGATCTTAAATATCGTGTGAGTTACATTGTACATGATACTGTGTGTCCTGCTATGTTCTAAAACACTCCTATCCGTGGAAATGATGAATATTTTCAAACGAAGAGAATTTGTCCTACCTTAGTTGAATATTGAGGCCGCGATGGACTCTTGTTGATGTTGACCAGACCACACACTAGAAGGTGAAGGGACGACGACGTTTCGGTCCGTCCTGGACCATTCTCAAGTCGATTGTGGTCCAGGACGGACCGTAAACGTCGTCGTCCCTTCACTTTCTAGTGTGTGGTTTGGTCAACATATTTCAGCCACGTTATTGTGACTCCTCGCCTGCGACTCATTGTTTACCTCTAGATGCTGGCGGCCCCTTCTAATCTATTTGCCTTACTATGGTATTTACTGTCCAGAAAAAGGCCTTCCGTATCCTCCGCAGAGGTCGGAAGACCGTCATCATCCAAATGCATGCCAATGTATGCATTTGGATACTTTGAATCCAAATTCAAAGTGGATTTGGATTTGAATCCAAAGTGGTTTCTTTGAATCCACAGCTGTATCGTGGTTTTCAATGGAAGAAACGCTGACCCTAATTGACAATTGATTGATTGATTGATAAAGATTAAGCCACCCAAGAGGTGGCTGGGCATGAATAGCCCGTAATATAGAGACCGTTGTGGGCCTCTTCTTGAATCACTTGTGATATGTATATGTATTTGTACTTACCTAGTTGTGATTGAGGTGTGACTCTTTGGTCCCGCCTCTCAACTGTAGGTTCCTGGTCTTCTTCAGCTCTATCATATCTAAATTTGAAATTGTGTATGGAGTCAGCCTCCACCACATCAAAAGCCAGTAAGAGTATGGTAGCTGCACAAATGCGGATGTACGTCATGTATTAATAAAAGAAATGGAAGAGTGTGGTGAGTGACACCTGGCGGTGAGCGACCACAACACCAGATGTAAACAGTTGTGTTGTGTGTGTGATGGAGGGCGACTGTGCTCTCCTCGGGAGGACGACACTGCAACACAACCACGCATTTGAGCTGTGACTCGACCTCTTATATTCCTCTAATAGGAATATGCTTTCATCTATAGGCCTACGTCGACGCATATGAGGTGTGACTCGACCTGTTATATTCCTCTAATAGGAATATTCTTTCTTCTCTAGGCCTACATCGACGCATTTGAGCATTGACTCGACCTGTTATATTCCTCTAATAGGAATATGCTTTCATCTGTAGGCCTACGTCGACGCATATGAGGTGTGACTTGACCTGTTATATTCCTCTAATAACATATTCTTTCATCTATAGGCCTACGTCGACGCATATGAGGTGTGACTCGACCTGTTATATTCCTCTAATAACATATTCTTTCATCTATAGGCCTACGTCGACGCACTTGAGCATTGACTCGACCTGTTATATTCCTCTAATAGGAATATGCTTTCATCTATAGGCCTACGTCGACGCATATGAGGTGTGACTCGACCTCTTATATTCCTCTAATAGGAATGTGTTTTCATCTATAGGCCTACGTCGACGCATATGAGGTGTGATTCGACCTGTTATATTCCTCTAATAGGAATATGCTTTCCTCTCTAGGCCTACGCATATGAGGTGTGACTCGACCTGTTATATTCCTCTAATAGGAATATGCTTTCTTCTCTAGGCCTACGTCGACGCATATGAGGTGTAACTCGACCTGTTATATTCCTCTAATAGGAATATGCTTTCATCTATAGGCCTACGTCGACGCATTTGAGGTGTGATTCGACCGTTATAGTCCTCTAATAGGAATATGCTTTCATCTATAGGCCTATGTCGACGCATTTGAGGTGTGATTCGACCTGTTACATTCCTCTAATAGGAATATGCTTTTATCTCTAGGCCTATATCGACGCATATGAGCTGTGACTCGACCTCCCGCTGGCATATATTCTTCCACTAAGGGAATATACTCTCATTCGAATTGGCAGGGCATATACGGCTTAGTCCCGTCGCTGCCCGTAATAACAGCAACAGTGTTTGGAGTGCTGTTGTCTTGTTCTGTTTTCACCGCTTTAGTTGGTAAGAACTTTGACATTGTTTACATTGCAGCGATAGTAGAAGCTATGGCCGAGAGTTGTTGGGCTTGTGGTGTGCTCTCCGGGAGTGGGAGGCTCTTGGTGTGCCCTTGGGGCATTGGGTGCTCTCAGGGAAGGGTGGACCTCTGGCTCTTGCTACCCCGGAGGTCACAGGAAGACGGTGATGAGCTTTTGCTCGGCTGGGCTAAACTTTAGTATTGGCCATAGTAATTCTTCCATTAGACTGTGACTTTGTTCGGCTACTCAGCATTCACAGGATTTTTTATGCTTCGATGATCTGGGAGTCGCTCAATGTCTATAGGTAGTCTTCCAGTTCTCTGTGGGGTGGGTGTCTGGCACTCGCCTCTTTGGGGGAAGTTGAATAGAGGTTTCCATGTACATACCTGCAAACCTGTACATATTTGTCATAGGGCAAATATGGGCCTGTTTCCCAACACAATGAATTATTTTTATCATTTTTATCAATCGGAAAGCTAGTTGTGTCAAAAGACTGGGTACAGCTTAACTATACCCCACTCTCACACTCCAAGCTTTCTTTATCAAAGGTCAGCCACTCTCAAAATGGTGTGCTAAACTGTAATTGAACATAGATTATAGCAAATTAATAATCTTTATCAAGAGACGTTAACGGCACTTTCTTGCACCTTGCAAGATCACACCATTCCAAACTATTAAGATAAGATATTTATTTAGGTAAAGGTACATACATTGAAAATGAGTTACAAACATAATGTCGGATTAATAGAACTAGTACTGTACATACAGTGCCTGAAGGCACTGTACCACGTAGAAGTGTACTACGTATACTATCAGTGCACGTACATACAGGGCATGTACATACATACATACTATCTGATCTTAGATTGCCAACAGTTGTAGAAACTTTTTTTGCTCTGTGTTGAATGTGGCCCTGGAAATTATTGTTTAACCATCTAGTATTCTTATCTCATTTTGGTACAATATTGAGTTATGAATTCAACTAACAGTTCATAGCAGAACATGTGTGCTTATGAAATTAACTTTTTTTTTTTTTTTTTTTGCTGACCTAGTGAAGATGAAAGTATATGGCAGAAGAAAAGATTCTTAAGATGCTAATACTGGACAGCCAGCATGGGAAAACACAGCCAAAGAAGACAACTAGTACACAGCAGGTGGGAGAGAAAGGCCATTCCTCAGAGAACTTCAGGCTGGCTGGAGGAGGTAACTATAGAGCAGTGTGACAGCCCACAGATAGATGAAGCAGATAATGATCCAGCTGATGCCAATGGAGAAGACGTTGGCAAGGATCAAAACTCAAGAAATGTAGGTGAACTGCATATTGAGGAAGTAGACGAGTGTGGAACAAAATTTGTCGTTCACAATTCACAGGTCACTAAGAGAGAAAAACATCAACATTGTCGTAAGTTCTTCATTAGCAGTTACTATACAAAACAAACCTGTTGTCCCACCATCAAAATCTGGTGAACATTTATTGACAAATATTTTATCTTTCATTTGTAGCCCCCCTTAAAAAAGCATTTGTCATTTGATGACTATTATTTATAATTAGTAACTGAAGCCATTAAAATAAAACTACCTCTTCTTTCGTCCAGGATGAAAGTGGGAAACAGGGTAATAAGGTATCCCCCCCCCCCTCTCCTTGAAAACTCTGCCAAACACAAGAATAATGCATTTCTTGTCTTATAATATTTTATTCACAGATGACTACAACACTATACAGATGAACATTAAATACATACAGTACAGTATGTATAAAGTTTTTATAAAAATTCTATAATTATCCTCAAAAAATTGATAATTTTTTATAACTCAATTTCATTTAGACTGGTCATGGTCAGTACAGTAATATCCTTGCTAATTGCATGGTTAGTAGTTGATTCCTAATGGTCCAATTGGTTGAGCACCATTCCTTCTGTCTGACCACATATCCCAGTTCTTAGTCTGCCCTTGTATGCCTTCCAAGTGATGTATGCAGTAGCTTAGCACTTTCTCCAAATAATTATTGTACTGCACCTTGTTTTCCATTTTCTAACATCATCATCATTACTCTGCCACATGACAAAATTCAAAATAAAGAGGGTTGTGCCATGAATTCTCTTGCCATTAACAGATCGAGTGAGAAACAAATCCAGTAGCAGCCATCGTCCACCTCTCGAGGTGTGGACACGACGTACAGGCAGACCTTCTTGCCCTGTCAATAGTGAGAGAACAATACTAACTGAAAGGAAAACAATTCTTTATGGACAAACTCCAGCTGCCATGTGCCAGTGAGTAGCACCATCCAAAAGATTAAAACAATGCGCATGTATGACTTACTGGTTGACTTTACCGAACATGGAAGTAGTTCTCAGAAGGAAACTAAGGTCTTACACAAGTCAATTTATGAAAACTCCTTACTCCCAGCAATTTTTCCATACAGTACTGTATTGCTATACATTATGATGATTTTTCTTGAAGTTTCTAAGAGAAACTTAGTTTCTTTTATAATATTATTTTGCATTTATTTTTACTATACAGCATATGTTACTAGTTATTATTACCCCTCCATTCCATTAATTGGATAATGATTTTTCTCATTTTGTGTATTGTATTATATTTTATCAAGTTTTCTCATAAAAGAATGTCTAATTTTCATTTATATTTTTAAGTTGACTGAGTTTGTAAAAAGCTCCTTATTGAGCATGTTATTCTGCTGGTCCAAGAGGCTTAGATCTTTTCTGTCATTCTGAAGATCATAACTCGGGCAGGAAAATACATGGCACCAACACTGCAGGGACTAATGCAACCCTGTGGGGGTCATAGGTGCTGGGAAACACTGGAGGAACTATTAATCCTTCAAAGACAACAGAGGTCAAAATTATGTTCTCAAACTCTAGAATCAGAGTCGCAATGATATCACTGATGGCAACCAGCGAGAAGCTCTGATTATCCTAACCTGTCACAAAAAACAGTTTTGAGTTTTCGAACAAACATTCGACTTTTTATCTTGGCTCGAAAGGTGCAAATTCAATAACTTCCAAACACCTTAAATGACTCTGCAAGGATGTATTAGCTGCTGTGGTGCTGGTGCTCAATGTTTTCTTGCCTGATTGATAATGATCTATACCATTGGAAGTGGCAGACAAGGTAAACTCATAAACTTTCCTTCTCATTGACCTCTGCTAACAGTGAAGTGTCTGGTTGATCCAACAAAATTCCATAGTTCATACATTCGTATAACCACAATTGTATGCCCTTCATCTTTCAGAATCCAATTAAATGCCATGGCAGAAGCTGCAGGAATGTCAGTAAGTGAATTTGCAAGACATATAATGGCAGGTGACACGCACAAAACTTTGCAGCTTCTGAGAGAGTTCCACACGCCTCACGTGCCTCAACTTACCCAGCTATTTGATGAGCTTGATGCTTGTGCCTTGTCAGAAAGCCCCTCAGAACAGCCGAATCATGGCAGTGGAAACTTCTTTTTGGATGATGAAGCACTTGTTGAGAATGAAGAATACTTTATATCAAATAGGAAAGCTGTTGCAAGAGTTGATTGTAACACCTTAAAAAATAATAGAGTTGGGTGCAAGACTTCATTAAGAGCCGAGTCAAGGAAATGTGACACATGCACAACAATTCCAAGTGTTAGTAGAGACAAAAATTATTTAAACAATAAGAATTCTGAGCAAAATGATAATTGTTTAGAGTTGGAGGAAGTGAACTCTTTTAAGAAAAATGGCTCGAGTGTCAAAGTAAGAGGCAGGAAAGGATTTAATCTAACTCCAAGAGAGGTAATAATGGATACCATTACTGTCATACCAGACACAGAGAGTGATGCTACTGCAGGCAGTGAAAGTGACTCGGAGATGGTTGTTAATGATTTAATTCCACACGTACCACAGCCAAGTGAACACCAACTGGCACGTGCTCATATGGTAAAGCCTTCACACCTTAATAGAATTAGTGTTAAAAGTAGTAGCTTACTTTCTGATCCTCCAACTTTGTCAACTGCTTCACTTGGTTTTCGAAAAAGCCAGTTAAGAGAAGAGAGCTCCGATTTAAATTCATTTGAAAGACAACAAAATCCCACACATGAGATTTCTACTCAACAAACAAACAAAATGCATGACAGTGATTACAATACAGTGTTGGCTGGATTATTTGAAGATGAATTATCAGCACCTCAAGTTCTTGAAAGTAATCGGCAAACAAAAATTATAAATAACAATTCACACAATCTTCAGTCAGACAAAACAGAATTGTGTGAAAATAATCCAAGGAATGCAAACAGTACTGGGTACTACAACAGAGTATTGGATACTCTCCTATTTGGGGAATGCACTCCTCTTCCACCTTTACAGTCGGGGTGCCATAATAAGACTGCAACTAGCATTGAACAAACTCGTCCAACTCTTGCATCATCTCAGGATAATTTTACTGCCAGCTCCAGTCAATACTCATCATCTGATATTGATAAATTGTTGTTTGGCTCACCACCAGAGGAAGTAAATAAAGAACTCAAGGGAAAGGTCAAACAATGTTTACAAACTGCAAGTGATCAGCAAAGTCAAAGGCCCATAACATTATCCCAAGAGTTGAGTGAATCTCCATGGGCAACTCTTGGAATTTAATCGACTTGTACAGAATATGTTTAAGAAAGATAAAAATCACAATAATTTGCATGTGATTCTTTAGTACTATTTAAAGTAAAGTAAAATGATATTTTGCCTAAATGCATAATTTCACGAGTTTATTCAGTGGCAATTTTATTTCTTATTAAGTAGTAATATTTCTTTCATATATTTTGGATCTCACATATAATGTATGCAAGATTTTAATAAATATTTTATGAATTATTTGCTTTTCTATGCAATTTTCTTGAATTAGCTTGTCCACCTGCCAAGACATGATACACACACGTACACACGTGTATTTACTTATGCACTCAATCACACTGTTTTTATTCAGCTTTTAGGATTTGAATAATAAACACGTGCAAAATTTCAGTAATTGTGTAATGAGAGGCAAACATATTTTGAGTATATACAATATGTAAATACATGCAGAATTCCAACTAGGAACACAATTAGTTGTGACAGTTTACCATTGTAAAAGAAAAATGTGTACATAACATAGATACATCTTCGGCAGAGCTATGATTTTTCATTAGCTGGACCCAGATTCATAAAGCAGTTACGTAAGCACTTACGAACCTGTCCATCTTTTTCTCAATCTTAGGCGGCTGTGTTTACAATTATTAAACAGTTAACGAGCTCAGAAGCACCAGGAGGCCGTTTATAACAATAACAACAGTTGATTGGGACGTTTTCATGCTTGTAAACTGTTTAATAAATGTAACCAAAGCTGTCAAAGATTGAGGAAAAATGTACACGTTTATAAGTTCAGTACTTGCTAACTGTTTCGTTAATCTGGTTTTTGGTGATCAATAGCTTCCTCTTACTGAATATTGAAATGCCAGAGAGTTGTAAAAGCCAAACAGACTCTTGAGCAAATAAAACATCACAAAACATAAGTGGATCAAAATAAGCTACCATCTAAGGAAAATTTGGTACCTTTGGGTAAGAAAAAAGCAAAAAATTGTTGCCGCTGTGTAAACACCCCAGATGCACCTGACCACCAAGTGGCAGCTCAGGCAAATCTGAGTTAGGTTGTTTACACTGTGGCAATGATTGTTTGCCATGTTACCTGGAAGTACCCAACTTACAGCAGTGGCTTCTCATGTTGTATTTATGCTATCGGATGTTTTCTCTCTTGGTTTTGGGGTAGATCTCTGATCCCCCAAGCTCCCCCTTGCCTTGTAAAGAGTGCACTAAACTTTGATTCTGGCTCTCAGTAGGTAAGGCTGGGTCTCGGAGGTCTTGGCTAGACCAGTATTAAGCTCAAGATGCTATTGAGGAGGGATGGGGGTCCTTTCCAGAAATATGTAACACACAAAATGTTTTAAAATATTTCCCCCTTTTTCTATACAGAGCTCTTTATCCTGCTCTGATACTATGCCTTTGTTCAACAACAAAATAATACCAGTAAGTACAAACATGTTCTGTATACAGCTTAGTCATTTCTTTCTCTACTTTTGATGGTTTTGAAGCACTCTTTAGGACAGCGGTATGCTCACACTATGGATGTCCCCATCATGGAATCTGGATCATCACTAGTGGGAGTCTTTTGAGCACTTTTACTCTCATCACTCTGATTCAGTAATTTCTGAATCATACGTTGCTGTTTTTCCAACTTCTTTGCAGCTTTCTTTTCTTTCTTCTCTTGAAGTTCCTTTTGTAACAGAGCCTCCTTGAAGCGCTCGTCTTTTGGATCAATTCGATAACCAAGAATTGATCGTACTTCCTCAATGAGACGTTCCCTCTTTTCCTATAAAATTAAAAACATTGATTAATTTAAAAATGAGAAATAATTTTAAATCAATACCGTAAAACAAAATATTATAGGTAATTATCAAAAAATGACCTACATTTTAACCTATTAATCTAACTTGTTTGGCAATTAAAAAATAATTGTCAGAATATATACTATATAATATTCTAGTATGAATGATGTGTGGTCCATAGCAAATATATTTCATTATAAATAATAATAGCCAAGTGAGGTGTGTGGGTAAATATAGAAGAATGAAAGGCTTAGAAAATGGGCAAACATTTTGAGTGATAATCAGGAAGCGGGCATTGAGTGTACACAACACATCATATGAGAGCTTGTAAAAAACACTGTAGACCTAGTCATAAGTAGAAGTTTGATGCTGTGGATGATTTCCTGGTGTGTGGCAGTGTTTGATACAATGAAGAGATGAATGTAAAATTTATATATTTAGCCTTCTTTTTCGATGTTTGACATGTCTACAAATACTTAGGAAGCATAACAAATGGGCAACAGTTGGACTTGCTCTTCTATATTACATCCCTCACCCCATGCAAGTTGAAATGAGGAAATGAAGATAATGATTAATGTACTTTTCTTCCTTTCAATAAAAGTAAATACAGTAATCTATCTCAATAATTTGGATATCTCCGCTGCTGGAACTGAAAATAAAGAAAACCTACCTTAGCTGCCAGCGCCTCTTTTTCCTTCTTTTCTATACGCTGACGTACTTCTTTCTTCCATCCTTCCAACTGGGCCATATTACGAACCATGGTTTCCTGACTGCAATTATATTTAGTTATTAATGAAGCTTTTGATAACTATAGTCAGATTAAGTACAGTATTACTGCATTGGGATAAAGAAATATATACACAATATACTGTATATGATACTAAACAGGAATGTTTATACTTGCAATAACTTTATGTTCAGCTCTTTACTGTCATGTTCTTATTGTTACACAAAAAAATTTGCTTATGTTTGTATTATTGTATAGTATAAAAAAAAAAGACTAAATTACTTACATTATAATTTTGATATCACTATAATATTGAAACAATGTTCACAAATTATTGATCTATTGCTTGATAAAGAGAAAAAGATAAATGCATATACAAATTTATTTTCACAATGCATGCCAGAGCATATTACTTCTAATCAATAACAATACTATTGTATTTTTTTGCTGCTCCATGATGGAGTTATATTAAGCAACCACTAATGTTGAGCACTAAATGTTATAAGATTCTCAAAGAAATTACCATAAACCACAGAGAAAATGCAAGCAGCAACACACATGGAGTGCTGCAGGGTACTAAGGTTAAGTACAGGGGAGCCGGTCAGCCGAGCGGACAGCACGCTGGACTTGTGATCCTGTGGTCCTGGGTTCGATCCCAGGCGCCGGCGAGAAACAATGGGCAGAGTTTCTTTCACCCTATGCCCCTGTTACCTAGCAGTAAAATAGGTACCTGGGTGTTAGTCAGCTGTCAGGGGCTGCTTCCTGGGGGTGGAGGCCTGGACGAGGACACTAAAAAAGCCCCGAAATCATCTCAAGATACCCTCAAGATAGGTCTTTACAAAATTTCACAATTGGGTGTTTATGCAGTAAGAGGAAACACACTGTAGCCATGCAATGAGAGAGGCTCTTGCAAGAGTGCCATTTTTTGCAGGAAAAGATTACAAAGTAAAGAATGTAGGGCTTGCAAAGGCCAGTGATCATAATGCAGTACAAGCATGAACAAGGACTTTGATGTTTCATCATAAAGTATTGTAGGCCATTTTTATTGTTATCAGCATTCAGTCCATCCTCCTGTTTATGTAGTACTTAAAGTAATGAGGAGGACTATCGTACATACATTGACATAAAAGGCAATTAGAAAGTAGAAATCGCTACTAATGAATTTGGACAAACCGGAAAATATTTTGTACTGATGTTGCAAAGAAAACCTAACTTAACCTTCATGGATCTAACACATGCTATCTAAGGCCAAATAGAGTACTGTACAAATATGTGCTATACTAGGCCTAGGAATATTTAAGTTTGGTTTTTAGCTTTATTTTTTAAGACTCTATATTGTGAACAGTAACAAATCCTACTATCTATTTGTCCATTACGTCTATGTATGTACAATGGTCCACATAGTTACAAAAAGTACTATCTAAACAGGAGAATGGGTTGCAGAATTCGTATAATGGCATAACACCTATTATAAGTCCTGGGTTAAGGAAGAACGAAAGGCTCCCGAAGTATGTACCTTAAAAAACCATTACATACTCTCTTACCTTTTTAGTATAGCCTCCTCCTCTTCTCTCTTTTTTTCCTTGGCCATACGAATCATCTCTACCACAGAGTCTGGATAGGCAACTCTCTCCTTTTCAGCATACATTGCCATTTCCTGTTTACTTGGCCATAGTTTGGCAGGACTGATGCCACTTGCAAAGCCATAATTGCCAAAGAGTTTACGCTGATAAGATAATGCAAGTACTTGCTCTTCATCTTCTGTTAAAGGTAGAGGCTGAAAAATAAACAGTTTGTTACAATGTACAAAAGGTTCTCAGTTATGGATACTGTACTGTACTAAAGATACTAATGCTAAATTAAATTAACCTATGTTGCATGTGATGCACAATATTTACAAGAAATTAGTTATATATATAGTTAGAACATTAATTTATAGTTAAAAATATCTTAGTTGTATATTACTACAATGTATCATTACTTAATTTAAAAAATGCAGAAATCTAAACTTAATATTTGTTTTTAAATAAACATTAAAAGATTTGTTTTTTAAATACTGTAATTTCTACAAAATTAGCTACAATTTCTGTTCATTGTTAAAATAATATTTAACAATATTTGGAACAGATTTTAAATATTTTTTCTGGAAAATAATAGTAACATTTGTATAATAATAATAATGTTTGTAAATTGTGCCCCGTACGGTAATTGGATGCAGCAGTCTTTTGATTACATTCATAAATAGATGCCCGACTCCAACCGAATCTCACACCTGCTGCTCATATACTGTAGTACCTGGTGAGTGAGGTTAAGTGGTACAATTCAATCATACAGGCCCTCACCTCTCAATCCTGACCTAACCTCTCAACCCTCACCTAACCTCTCAACCCTTGTGTAACTTCTTAACAATAGTAGTAGTACTGTAGTAGGCATCCATCAGTCTCGGGAGACTATGGAGGTGCGCTCTGGTTGTCGGTCTGGAGTGGCCTCTCCAGGGCACAAAGCCAGGGTAGGTCGATACAGGGAAGAAGCTGTCGCCCATGCAACAGGTCCCCTCCTCTCCATGGTGCCGAAAGTCTCCAATGGAATGGCAAACGCCAATACGATTGGTTCCAGTGCTGTTGCAGAAACTGTCAGAATGAGGTTGAAGGCAACAACGAACTGCCCCTAGGGGCTCCAGCTCCATAGTTTACCTTGAGGTTGGCAAAAGAAGGCACAGGGACTCCAAACCTGAAGACTGTCGTGGTCGAGGCTGGAGAAAAACCACCCCAGCAAGGTCAAGAACGACCACAACCTCCTGTAACAGAGCTTGGGCCACATGAGCCCCAGGAGGTGGATGTATGGGCCTCACATCTATTGGATCCAGACAGAGATCATCACAGCCCCCTTTCACCTGAGGCCAGCTTCCTTCATGACCCAGCAGAAGGAAGAGAACTCTTCCAGTACTCAACAAAACTGTTCTTAATATATGAGTGGGTGTGGGTATATATGAGTCAGTATAGTGTGAAATAGGATTTGTCATAGGCCAATAGGCCTTTTGCAGCTGCCTGTGGTTGTGACAAAAAGATATACATACACAAGATTACTAGCATGCATATTTCAACTGGATGGTAATGTACTTACTGTACATAATTTTGGGAAAAGTATGAGGGATAGTATTGGTCACTTACCTGTTGGTGAAATTTTGCATAATGCCATTTCCGTAATCTGGATTTATTTCTTTTCTTCTCAATTAAGTCCTCCTCCTCCTCTTCATTATCTGCCAATTTTTCCTCGGGAACCACTGGGACCTGCTGGAACAGTGGACAAGTCTGAGTGGCTAGGCTTCGACCACCTCTCCTGTAACCCGCTTGTATTACACGGTACAAACTCATATTTCTCGAGTTTCCCACTTCTGGGGGGTGCTCGGGGAGGGGCTCCTTCTGAACCCTACTGTCCCCACAAGGCTCTCAAGAGTACTCTAGCAACTTTGTAGATCTTAGCCTCCAATTCCACTAGAGTACAGGATAAGTACAAAAGTAATTATTATGATTTCTTCTGAATTCTGAGTTAGTCCTTCCGGCGTTCCACACAGCTGTACCGTGTTTACACAACTACGAGTCTAATTAAACTTTTAGGTCAAATGCACTATACGCTGGTGAATAATATATATATATAAACTATTTATTATATAATATATTTAATATATAGATATATAGTTCGGTCTGTTAATAGTGTTTCATATACAAAATTTTACTTGCAATTATTTACGCTCGTAATATCATTATGCCGTCACTTTATGGAAAGATTAAAATATTTCTAGATATATATAATAAAAAACCCTAATAATTAATCACAAATAACAACGAAGGACATAGGCAATTATTTTATTGATAAGTATTAGCTCAGGCTGAGTAATGAGAGAGACATGGAGGAAGAAATGAAAGGTGGTAGCCCTGAGCGAGGAGTCCACGTCATAACAAACGGAGTCAGCCCGTCAAGTGTCACACCAAAAACATACCTTTATTGTCCCTGTTGACCAGGTGAGACTCTTGGCTTCTCCTGTACTCGTGTATTAAAGCTGAAATGAGCCGTGTTGTTTGTGGTTGGTCTGTTTTAAGGCTTACTTTTGCGAGGAGTTGTGGAAGAAGTGGTTGTTGGTCACTCCGGCTTGGCAGCTCTCTGGTGCTGAAGGGCTGCCAGAAGGGAATATGAGTTTCGAGTCACGATTAATGAGAAGGTTTGTGAGTAATAATCACATTCCCATATCATAGTGACTGGGCCTAGAAGTAGGCAAACGAGTCACACTCTCCAGTACTGATTTATTTTCACGTATCACCTTTTTCCTGAACCACCCCTCCTCCCATAGCAGCCTTGTTTGAGATTGCATTCAAGAATACTGTTATTAAGCTTTACATTCTTGATCAATGGAAATTATCCAGGAACTTTAATGTACCTATTTCTGGGGGCAGAGTCTGCCACCTTCTTGGTAGCCAAGGAAGCTCTGACACCTTTGTCGAACTACCTTTGCCCGACTCTTGCCCCTCGGTGCAGGAAGTGGCTACAGATAATCTTCCCACTTCCTGCTGTTTTGACCCGATTCCAGAATGTAATGTAATTTTGCCAGAAGTCTATTGTCTGTTATAGAAAAAAACTTGCAATTGGTGAAGTATATCTATGAAAGCTGTAATCTTAATATTCTCAATTTTAATTTTATTTAAAAATCCTTAAATAGGACTAACAGACAATAGATCAATCGTTGGTGTATTGGTTTGCATTATGTTCAAATTCCCTGTTTATTAAATTAACAATTAGTTAATAGTATAATCAGAGATGGATCCAAATGCAGATTCATATTTGCACTTGCAAATTGTAAAATTGTAATTTTTTTAATGAGAACTCATGGTTAAGTATCTGAACCTTGGTATTTATAGTTATTACAAGTACATGTAGCTCTCAAACCCATCGTGGTAACACACAGTGATTAACAGAGGAGTTTTGTTATGCGAGTTCACTGTTTTAACACTAGCAGTCTGACCCGTCGGCACATACCCAACAGTAAATTTCTGGGCATCTCAACGTTCCGTTCAGCAATGACAAAATGCTTTGCGTTATGTTAGTTTTGAATTATAACTATAAATTGTATTAAAATGCCCATAAATGAGCTTGCTAGAGTATAGATTAAAAAAAAAAAAGTTTGATAATTATTCATGATAGAGCTAGGTATGCAAATGTTTAACAACATTTTGACATACTAGTTTTTCAACAATTTTCATGTATTTTTTTAACAAAAACTAAAATGTGTTCATGTGATCAGTCTATATCACTATAGATATAAAACGTTTTTCAAATTTTCTAGCAGGTAATTTGCAAATCGCTGTGAAAATACTCACAAGCAGATCTATTATCTAGTGATAGTTGCTTTGTCAATGTGATTACTGGATGGTCCCCTGATACTTCAGTTTTGTTTTTTTGATAGACCATGTTCATACTGTGCTTTGTCCATAAATGATTTTGGGAATTTTCAAGATGGGCAATGCATTGAAGCTTTTGTTTTAAGTATGGATGATGCGTTTGTGTTGCAAGAATGCTAAAGTACTGTACAAAATTTTGGGTTTAAAAGCCATGTAGAATATCTGGCAATTAAATTATAAAGCTTTTTGATTAGATGATAATCTGCATTTCTTGAAATGTTATCAGGTTTAACATTTTGTAAGGTACTGTAATTTATAATTTAACATAAATATGCTGGTATACCTATTTTTATTTGTTGGTAAGCTAGCTTTCAGAAGTGTCTACATACAGGGTCTTTGACAGGTAATGAAAATGCCAAAATTTAGGCATTAATTGTATTGAATTAAAACATCTTGATCCAAATATATTTAAGACGAGGATCAAACCAGCATTCTTAGTAATCCCAGATGTGCACCTTATCGTGCACCCGTGATAGTTAAAGATTGTTTAACCTGGGATCTGTCTGAATCCACTCAGTCTGGAGACAACATGCTGGAATACAACCCAAGTTTATCATTAACCTGCATACATTCTGGTTTAGGTAATGGAGTTCTCCACTAAACACTGCCTTCACATACACAGTGGAATCACAATAACGTGATAATGAGAGAATCTTTAGAGCCGTTCAGGGATTGAACCAGCAATGCTGTTCCCAAGATTTTATCAGATACAGGTATCCCATTGTGATTGCATTGTGTACATTTAAATACTTACATTTCAGCCTAGTATATGTACAAAGGAAAGAACTTTTTTTATCAAAGTGCATTTTTTAATGGCATACCTTTATTTTTTAATTTCAGTTTTGTTGATGAGCGCACAATGTTAACAAAATTTGAGACCAAGAGTGCAAGGGTAAAGGGTTTATCCTTTCATTCCAAGAGGCCATGGGTCCTAGCCAGGTAAGATAACCATTAAACATTTTATTTTTATATTTTGTAGGATAGTTGTCTGAATATACTGTACTGTGGTGTATTTTTTTTCAAGCTGATGGCCTGAAAAGGTAAGTTAAATTTTGTAAATTGTAGAATTGTGCATCTATATTTTGGTCTTGAAGAAAATTATGCAATTATAGCCAGTGATTATGTGAAGAATATGGTTATCATACTTCTAGTCCTCGTATGTAATCTATTTCCTGAATTGCAAAGATTTGTTAGTACAGGGAGTCGCTAATTTAAGATGCATTTCAAGAGGGATTTGCAAGTCTGTTATTCAATTCAGAAAAGATTTACCATAGGTATAATGCTATAAGTAGAGAATGCAATCCTAGACCACCAGGTCATCTTGAGATAATTTCGGGGCTTGGCGTCCCCGTGGCCCGGTCCTCGACAAGCCTCCTTTGTGTTACACACCCCCCAGGAAGCAGCCCATAGCAGCTGTCTAACTACCAGGTACCTATTTACTGCTAGGTAACAGGGGGCATCAGGGTGAAAGAAATATTTTGCCCATTTGTCTCCGCCTCCACTGGGGATCGAACCCGGAATCTCAGGACTACGAATTCGAAGCGCTGTCCACCCAGCTGTCAGGCACCCTGTTACCAGACTAACATATATAACACATTTTAGGTGACAGTTCAGAATATATCAATGTTTTATTTTACTTGAATAATGAAGTTGCTCTGCTTGGTTTTACTTTGTTTTTGAGAACTGAGGCAGTTTAATTGCTTGAATGTGGTACAGTATTTGATACATGGGTGGCAGAAGTTATCTTCAGTGTCCCTGGGTACTGTTGATTGCTAGAATGATATTCGTTCTCCCTTTCCCCTACCCCCCAGGGATATTCCTGAGTGACCATAAGCCTCTGGCTGGTCCACTAAGTGATACGGTACTCATTTTTAGTTTGACCTGTTTAGGCGGTGTACGAGTTTAAGATTTGTATGTTCCCTTCAGTAAGACTATGCCCAATGTGCTTAATAACTTCTGCCCTGTTAAATCATACTTGGTATGTAATTCTGCACTGTTAGATAATATTCCAGTGGTCTGTCGGGCATTTCTCCACAGTGCTAACATTTGTTCTCATCTTCTGGAACTTTTAAGCTTATTTCCCATGCACATGGTTATCCAAACCCGATGCAATGTAAGTGTTTTTGATACAGGCATTGTCAAAACTGAGCAAAATTATTAAAGATAACATTCACACTCTTGCTTTTCCCGCTCTTTTAGCCGATTTACTTAGCCGATTCTGAGTAAATGTTGTTACAGTCGCCAAAACCCCTTCAAATCAGCTTTTATGAACAGTATTTACCTTGATAAACATAAAAAAAAATAGTCCACAATTTGTCCACAAAAACTGTCCAATGCACAGTAGATATCAATAGGATAAAAGAATTATAATAACTGGGGTAGTGAGTCAGACGAACGACACCCCCAGGTATGTGGACATTCTTGTGGTGCCGCACACAGCCAGTCAACCATTCAGATGGAAAAGAAGCACTGTTCACATTAAGGGGATGCTGGAGCAGGTTAGAGAGCAGATGGATACAAAAAATGGGGTCTTGGGAGACTGTAGTATTGGGTGATCGTAAGTCGAATAAGTTGAATGTTCATTAGTCGGGGACCTTCCTGTACTGTGCTTTTTAATTATTCATTTATCAACATGGGTATTTTTTAAAGAATTAATGTACTAGGGGTGACATATGCTGCAATTTGTTTGGTCTCTTTGTTCCTAGAATTGACTTGGGAGTAGCCTTGTGACCTTGTATGGCTATAATGGTTTCTCACAAATTTGTTGATCACTATGCATTCACAAGTCAGTCTGATGTAAGATTGACATGTAAGATATTCTGATCTTACTTGATACATCCATGAATGCTGAACAAGTAAGATTGTTATTGCTGGTTTAGAAGTCTTCATCCTATATTTTTCCTCCTATTCTTCCACCTGTTAATAATGGATTCATAATACTGTACAGTACAGTATTTGCTGCTTACCAGTTCAGCATTAGAATAGTATTTTCAGATCCTTGTAGCTGTGGCCAACTGCAAGTAACTAATTCTAAATACCTTTGCAATGATCAAAAATGAAGATTGTCCTGTGAATCACTTGGCATAACTCCCTTAGAATGAATTCTGGTAAACTGTCTTCAAACTGAGCCCCCTTTGATCTCGTCTTTAAAATATCTTGTAACTTTTGCTAGTTTTCTTTTCACTTTCTTTCAACTCGAAACTTACTGGCAGGTGATTTCATCCTTCCTGATCATAGCGTTGAATTCTCTGCCACAGTTTCTCGTTAAATTGGTTTTCGCTCTTTTCTGCGTTAACACTTTCGGTGGCCCGGCGGGCGACCCACTTCACACTGCAAGGTCGGCCAAGCGTTGCCCGTGAGCATACAACCACACTCCAATGTTTATATGCTTTTCAGCTTTTTCACCCCAATTTTCGTGCTACGTCGTTCAATTTGGTGTCAAATTGTTTGCAATAGAATGCTGTAAAGGGATATTTACATATAAGAACATATCTTGCTGTTCTATACTTTCAATGAACACTTCAATAACTTTTCCCTCATATGTGTTTCTTTCACTGCATTCGTCATGGATTGGCTTTGTTCTTGATCACTTTTCATCTTGAAGTCAATTTGGAGTGTTTATAAAGCCGGTAACAACAAATCCCCAAGATAAAATAACCGGAATAGGGAAACTTTTTGACTTTGGGGGGGGGGGGGGAGGCTGCAGCTGTCATGGAGCGAAGTCACGGGAACGGTGAGCCTCCAGCGTGGGTGGACGCCCACACGGCAGGGTTGGGATGCCACGTGGGGTATACAGAGAATGGGAAGACGTTGGTGTGCATTTTAACAAAAAAATCCCATATTATTCGGACAATAGGTGGAATTTTTACAAATTTTAAAATTAATGACACTCATTGCGTCATCAAACACTGTGTATTTTGGTTTGATGGGATGGGTCATATAGGTCAGATGGTGTGCTATTAGTGTGCCTTTGGGCTTGTTTTTGTATTTGCTTGCCTGTTTATCAATCTTTACTTAACTTTTCTCGTCTTGAAATTTGGTCTTTTTCAACCTGTCCTGAAGAAATGACTATTCTAACCCCCTCGATTATCTTATTGTCTTCACTTCTGTCTAAATGTGATATAGGCAATCAGAATTACCGACTTATTTTTACATATCGGGGAAAATATATACTGTACAGTATTGTCAGTATATCGAGTATTTAAGTTTTTCTTTGCCTAATGATTTGTCATATTTGGTTTCTCAACAAAATTATAACATTCGAGGTAGATAGGTTGGAAGTCTGCGAGATATTCCATGCTCAAACAAAATCCTCCCTGCTATGAACAACATCCCCTGAAGCAAGGGATTGATATTGGTAAAGAATTTGTTCAAATGAACCAGAAATTTTATTCCACTTCAGGTCGTTAAAGTGAGGTTGCACAATATCTGAAAGCCTCTGTAGAAAATCTGCATGCACTAGTAACCATGACATTATTTACTGTCCAAATGATTTACAGACTCATCCACAGCTTATGTTTACTGTGCTTTCCCAGGTTTATAAAAGGCCATTTACAACTTTTCTTGCATGCCTTCTTCACTGTCTGCCACGGTGTAAATACTGTACCTGTAACTGATCCACACGGTTGAGAGGCGGGACCATAGAGCTGAAGCTCACCCCCCTCAAGCACAACTAGGTGATTACACTAGATTGACGGGACACCACGAGCGTAGCTCTCATCCTGTAACTACACTTAGGTAAGTACACAAGAATGTAGGTAAAAGAATCTGTAGGTGGCTTATTTACTCGTGCAAAGTGACTGCTATATGCCCAATAATTAACCAACTGTTAGGTGCATGCTATAGAGGTAATTTGTTTATTCTGTAGTATGGTGATAAAACTGTCCTGTAGCATCTAAGCTCACTTTTCTGGACTTATGGGAAGGATCCATAACAGGATAAGCATAATTCTTACCAGGGAAGTCCAAAAATGACCATATTGATTTGAATTTCCACACATACACCCTATAAATAAAAAATATAATTTAAAGCAAACTTCAGCTAACCTTGCTGTAGTTTGTCATCTTGTTTGATACAGTAGCTCTTGAAAATTTACTTAACCTAATCTCCAGTTATCCAGATTTCTGTCTGGATATGGCAAAGTTTTGCCACAAAGTTATCCAGATGCAATTGGCCAAATAATCCAAATATTCGTTTCAGCAGGCTTTGGATAACCGAGCTCATATAGTATTTTACTTCATAATCCAAGTTGCATCTCGCTAGAGCAGGATGTCTTAACTTCAGCATTACTGTAGAGGTTTTATGACTGACCCTTCTAAAAATAATCCTATTAACCTCGCTTCCCGTATTAATAAACATTGTTCGTCATCTACCTAGTTGGAGTTGCTATTTAAAGATCAGATGCATTTGTGGTGTTCATTTTGTAACCCTGAAAATATTTGTACTATGAAAAGCATTTGACATGCTAATGTATTATGAAAGTGTTTCACATGCAAATGGTTAGTTGCCTTCAAGGTCAAAGTTTTAACCCATTGGTCACATCGCAACCCAAAGTATTATATCGCAAAACTTCTGTATCGTACTGTACAGCCGCTTATGGTTTACTGATGTACAATAACATTTCTACCCTAAAATTTAAGATTATATTTCAGAGTACTGTACTGTAGTGTCTGCCTATCATCCTCCTTCCTTAGGATCTTGTAAGGCGAGGGACCATAATTTAGTGACTGTTTGGTCAGTTGCAATTGCCTTTTTTTATTTTCCATCCATGTTGTGAGTACAGTGGAAATATGTTTATTTGAAACTACTGTTCACTTATTTGGTACATATAGCTATGTTAATGGGAATGTTTATTAATAAAATACTAGAAGTACAGATTTCATACAACAGTTTTGTTAAAAGTAATAGTGGTAAATGAGATGAAAATAGAGAGGTCTGATGTATAATTTACACTTCATTTTTCTCAGTAAGCATGAATTATAAAATAGTAGATTCTTTTGAAGAACTGGTATTATAATGTATTAGCACTTCCCAAAGAGCCATAGGAAGTAAAGTTTGTCACTACGTTTATGGACTTGGTACTGTAGTAACAATAACTGGGCTTTGAATAACACTTGACCATGTTTACCACAATTGGACGTCATTTGGAGTAAATAATGATTGAAGACTGATTACTGGTAAGTTAATTTGTGTGTTCATGACATGTAAATATTATCTGCATACTGTTTGGAGTGCATTTTAGAAATGATTTTAATGCACTGTACAGTATTTACATCGGTGCTAAAACTTGTTATAAATGACTATGAATTGCAACTTTTCATCATATCACTGCTAGTGGTGATATAACTAGTGTGCTTCCAGGCGAGATTTAGGAAGAGCAGACGTTATTACTCGCAGCAATTTTCACGTAGTTTGAAGATTTAAGTATTTAAATGTATTTAAATATAAAAAGGTGATGGTATTGGTGAAGTGAAGTAATCAGCATAACAAAATTCCATGCATAAGGGAATTACTATATTAGTTTTAAAAAAGTTGCACAAGTTGTCAAATTCCAACAATACCGTATGAAATAGGAATGGTTTTAACATTTACTTATAGATGACATACACTAGACTTATATTTCATTAACAGTCCTCTTTCTTTTAACATAGGTTGATTTGTAAAACTGTGATAATTATGGTTTTATGGTTTGATGTAATGAAGATGAATTTTTATTGTGTTCCTGGAAATTGGCGACCATTTTGACGCTGAGCTCTGGAAGGTGCTTCACTGCCGTCTTTTTCGGTTGCACTCAATCGGTGAGGAGCTTCTGCAAATCGCTCAGATTGCTTGACAGAATCGGGGCGACGACGTCCGTTGCGACGTCTGCCTGGTCTGCGTTGCCCTTCTTCTGCATTTGTTGGGGTAGTAGACTCTGTTGGGGCAGGAGGGGCATCTGCCTGAGGTGCAGAGGTAGTGGTGGTGTCGGCAGCGGTAGTGTCTGCACTGGTTGCATTTGTAGCGTCATCCAGAGCCTTGGGGGCTACATCTTCAGTGGCAGTTGCAGGAGTGTCCGAGGTGGAAACAGACTTTATTTTTTCCGATAGTTCCTTTTTAAGACCAGGATGTTGTCTTAAGATCTCCTCGATGGTGACTGCTCGAATTTCTAAGCCTTTATCTTGAGCATTGACCAGCAATGCAGCACACCCCGCCAACAGCACCAAGGTGGCCTGCAACAGGACAGAATAATAAGGTTAAATTACAGGTTTATATCAATAAATTACATTACAGGTTAAATTCAACATTCAGATTTATTATACATCAGTGAATGGCAGGTGTAGTCATTTGAGTTGGGAGGTTGTGTGGGTGATAAATGTCAGTGGTGTGGGGGTGGGTGGGTGGATTTGGGATAATTAGTGGTTAAACAAATATTGTATTTTGATAAGTCGGTAAATCCACTTGAAGCAACCCATCACACGAAATAAAAAAAATTGCTTAAATTATTACCTATATGGATAAGTTGGGAGGGTGGAATAAAATACAACTGCATTATAATTGATAAATCTTGCAGTAATGTGTGCGATAAAAATGCATAAATGAAATCAAATGCCAATTATGTAATTCACCATCATTCCGTTGAGCACGGAGGGGGAAGCAAATTTCAACATATTGCAGACAAAGTGTACATGACATTTGATCATGAGTCACTGCAGATTGCAATAAGAACTTGAGAAACTTGCAAGCAAAGGTCAGCATTGTAAGGTGTGTTCCCACAGGAGGCGGCGGAGGCAGAGGAGGTGGTGGTGGTTGGATTACTCCAGACTTTCAGTAGCATACGTTCCATATCTTGTATGATTACCAGTATAGCCAGCTGGTAGTAGTGCTGCACAAGATGTGTTATATATAATGCTGTCTTTCATATTAAGATGCCTGGCCTGTCAGCTGTTGAAGGATGTTGCATTATGTTCTTGGTAAATAATGCAGACACCATAAATTTTTTTGTTTTACTGATAATTGTTACTGTTGATTGGTTGTCACTTGATCTGCAACCTTGTGTGATGTGTTAAACGATGGCAAGAGGTGGCTGGATGCATAAAAGATGAACATAATGGTACTAGCACACTGCAATATTTTACAGCAGGTTTTTTTAAGACTAGTTTTTTGTATACTCTCATAAGGGCATACACAACAGAGCCCAATTTATCATGGAATCATACTGACCTTACAGTTGACTATATTCAGGTTAACTGTAACTGGCTCTCGCTTGGCTCTTCACCACTCGGCTCACATTATGGAGAAGCGTGATGCAGGTAATAATCTGGTGCAGTGACGTGTGGCTGTTCAAGGTGTGGATTTTATGGTGAGGGAGGAGGCAGTCGTGTGTGGCTTTTGTGGAGGCGGGTGACGAGGCAGTCGCGTGGCTTTATCAATTGTTAGACACGCTAACAATGATGACCAAACCACAACTTGGAAAGATAGAGAAGCGACAACGTTTTGGTCCAGCCTGGACCATTATCAAGCACACGATAAGGGTCCAGGATGGACTGAAATGTCGTTGCTTCTCAATCTGAGTTGTGGTTTGGTCATAATTCCTTCAGCCACATTATTTATTTATTTATTTATATACAAGAAGGTACATTGGGTTTGTGAGAATACATAGCATAGTACAGTAATTACACAATTGTAAAGCCACTAGTACGCGCAGCATTTCGGGCAGGTCCTTAATCTAACAGATTGGGCCTCATCATCCTAACAAGGTCTAACATTGGCCCTCCAGAGTTCCACCTTCAGAGCTATTAGTGGTTTAATGCAGTGACTTGTCTCCAAATGTCTGATCATGCTATATTTACACATGAAAGTATTATTGAGTTAGCTTTTGCTGCTACTAACCCCCCCTTTTTTTTTTTTTTTTTTTACCACCTCGAAGCTGAATTTCTTTGGCATTCCTGCAGGGCATGAAGGTGATGAGGCTCATTGCCACTTGAATTGAGGATGGATGTAGGTTGTCATTGTCACACACACCTGCTACTGCCACACACAACACCTGCGACTGTAATACACGACACCTGCTACTGCCACACAACACCTGCTACTGTTACGCTTATCTAGGCTCCCCTAAACCAACTGCTGACCTTCCCCAGCAGGAAGAAACCCCACAATCCTTAACTCCCGGGTACCTACTTGCTGCTAGGTGAATAATAGAGGAATTGGGTGAAAGTAAACTTGCTCACACACATGTTCTGGTACAGGAGGTGAACCCGGGACCCCTTCAGTTGTAAACCAGGATTTAGAATCTAGCGGGGTGGTGTAAGTGGATGGAGTTTGGGGGGGGTATAATAGAGAGTGGGGGGAACCTTGTTGAACTTTGCAGCAGGATAGATTCAAGGATAGTCTTTCCTTGGATAGTCTATCCTTTACTCAAGGATAGAGGAGTGGGGGGGGGGTTGCTTCGATCAGGTGGTGGTGCGAGTTTTTGTCTTTTGTCTGGGGGGAGGAGAGGGTTGGTATGGAAATCTGACAGCAAGATAGTGTGGGTGAGAGCGAAATTATTGGAACCGGTAAGGAGTGGGGAGGGGGGGGGCGGGAGTGGTGGGGAAGATGGGGGTGTGGTTACTCTCACTTTCACAGTTGCAGCAAAGTGTGCCACACCACCTTCACCACTACTCCCCCACCCCCCCACCCCCCTCTTTCCACCACTCCCCTACCACCCCCTCCCCCACCTAGCAGCACTTTGGCAATACCACACCCGGGTTCAACTACTGTACTAATAATTTTAAAAATGGTCTAAAAGGGCTTTGCAGACAAAGCACAAATGCATGCACTTGTGTTACGAAGAGCCATTGGTCAGGAAATTGTTCAGCAACTATAGAAACTAATTACATTGGTTACGTTTGTCTTTATGTGTGTGTGTGTGTGTGTGTGTGTGTGTGTGTGTGTGTGTGTGTGTGTGTGTGTGTGTGTGTGTGTGTGTGTGTGTGTGTGTGTGTGTGTGTGTGTGTGGGTGTGGAGTACTGCAGGGTAAGTAACAACGCGTGTTTAACAAACCAGGCTATCTTTTTTCTTAACTCTGCGCATTATAAAACTAACCCCTTTTTCTTGTACGTTTGTCTACTACTTGCTCCTCCTGTGGTGTTGTTAGATTTAGCTACTGAGAAGGAACAGTTGTAAGTAGCACGGGCTATAGTAACCTCGCCTGGCACAGGAGCGGGGTTGTAACACTGCTTCTCTGTTGTTGTTGTTGTTAGATTTAGCTACTGGAACAAGATTTCCATGTAGCACAGGCTATGGTGAGCCCGTAAAGTGGACTGCTTCTCTGATTGATAAAGATTAAGCCACACACGAGGTGACACGGGCATGACTGCTCCTCCCTTTTTTAACTCTTTTATGTTATGGGTGTGGAGTGCACGGGCTCACCATAGCCCGTGCTACATGGACATTTCTTTCTGAGTAGCTAAATCTAAAACAACAACGGTGTGGAGTGGAGACCATCCGAGCGCCGCCTCACTCGGCGAAGCATGACACGAAGGAGAAAGTGTTGCGGGACATGTTATTGGGGCTCTGTTCATGGCTGTCGTGGCGTCTCCATAATGGACTCTCCTTGCTTCAGTCGGGCTTCCTTGTTGGTGATGCTAGAGCAACCTTCCTGCATGCCACAATGTTGATGTTATTGGTCACAACCTCAGAATTACCTGCCATATCGGGAAATTGTATGTATTGCATTCTTTGACACTCCCTAGGGCGTTCAATCCCCGACCGTCCAAGTGGTTGGGCACCATTCCTTTCCCCTCGTCCCATTCCAAATCCTTATCCTGGCCCCTTCCATTTGTTATAAAAGTCGTGTAATGGCTTGACGCTTTCCCCTGATCATTAACAATTCTTCCCGCTGATGAGTATCATCAGCCTTGAAGGGGGAGGGGTTAGGTAGGTTGTGTAGGTTTGTACGCATCTTGAGACGCAAAACGGCTTCAAATTTAATGCTTGTCAGTTTGTGTAAACTCCCTCAGGTCCTGCAGCCAGCCAGCCAGCCAGGCAGGAGATGCCTGGCGAAGAATTAAGTTTTTGTCTTAATTAATGATGAATTGTCTGAAATTTCATGGGTGTCGTGACGAGTGGAGAAGAAAAACATTCCTCCTACTATATTAATTGGCTAAAAATTAATCCTTGTGTGTGTGTATATATATATAGGGGAGTAAGGACGTTTTGTCGACGGGGGGGGGGGGGGGAAGGGAGGGATGGGGATTGTCATGGAGAGTGAAAGGTAGGGCCTGTGTGTGTTACGGTCTTGGTGTGAGGGACAGTGTAAGGTAAGCGACTAAAATCAAACGACATGTGTGGGTGTTTGTGTGTGTGGGGGGGGGGGATGGGAGAAACTAAGCTCGCCTTGCCGCATGACTGCATGACATGACGCGCCAATAATATAAAAAATATATATCAAGTTTTTTTTTTTAATCATTGTTCTTGCGTGGCGACCTACATGTCTCAGTCCTCCGCTTCGTGTCTCCTTTTACTTTCTCAAGCGTTGCTTCAACTGTTGACTGAAGTCAACCGTAAATTTTGTATTTTAGTCGTGAAAGTTGACTTGGATAGATAAATGTTGACAAGTAGTAGACAACGAGACGTGACAACCTTACAGGTACTGAGTGAGGCGAGTGGCACAGAAAACAATTTGTCTTTATTTTGCCGAATTTGTGAACAAATGGCCAGGCTACTGAAGCTTGGTTCAACTTGTCTAGCAAATCTCTACAACTCTTGCTATTGGGGAGTGTTGTACATGCTGCTATGGCGGTGTGTCCACTCACAAGATGAGTGGCGCTGCCCAATAAACTCGCCCCTCAGGGCAAAATTTAAATTAATCTCTACAATGATTAGTCATCCCAGTATCCAAGAGTAAGGTTAATTCAACTTTGAATCGACGTTAGCCTTAAGTCTCCACTGGGATGGCGGTCGTGGAGACCAAGGATTGGAGAATGATGCCACAAGTTAACAGTGAAGCCATGGAGATGGATGGTGAATCCTCTTTAGACACTGTAGACATGGGCTGTAATGGGGTATCTGTAAGCTGGGTGGCTGCGCTGGGATGCTTCACAGTCACGATACAGGAGATTGGGTAGTGGCTCCTGCTGCTCAGGTCTGTACATGTCCAGCGTATCCATTGAGCTTGAGTTCTGCAGAGTTATATCCATAGTGGCGATGGACGTAGGTGCTGTAGGGCGGGCAAGACGGCACTAGGCGTTGCCGGCATACAACAGCAGCCTCGTAATGGTTTTGAGCTTGCGGTGGCGGACAACACTTTAATCTTAGGAGCGAACACGCACACACATACACAGACCTTCGTTCGAGTCGGCGGCGCCCACCATGTTTTCCTCGTATTGCACAGGTTGAGTTGGCAAGAATGACCAGGTCTAGTTACGGTGTTGTTTAACCACACAAGTAGTAGTGCTCGTCCTCGTCATTAGCACTGACCGGATAGCTGCAGTAGTGCTCAGTCCGGTACATTAATTACCGGAAGGGAGGGGGTTACTCTTAAGGTGGCCACGACGGTATAGCTAGCGGCGCTGAGGGCAAGAGTGGGTAAACATTCTTTATAAAGTAGTACTCACTAGTCTCATGGCTGAGCGGCGACGGGGACGAACTCTTGACACACTGGAGGGATGGCGGACCATGCTGGCGTTTATATACCACGATAGAGTTGCCGAGTGCTTTATAGATTGTGCGCGCGTGTGTAACCAAGGTGGTAAGATAGTGTGGGGACGAGGACGAGGTTGTTGTGGGTGTGAGTGACGGTGGTGGTGGTGGTGCGTGTCAAGTGGTAGGCGACGGCAGGTCACACGTAGAAGGAATAGTAAAGCTTGATGAAATGGGGAGAGTGGAGGAGTAACGGGCGAGTAGAGGTGTCAGCCAGCCAGCCAAGCCTGTCACACACACACAGTAGTCAAGGTTGATGGTGTGGGTTAACATGTTGTCATGCTCTTGTTGAGTCGCTGGTGTTGACCCGCGGCAGCTGTCTGTCATCATGATGACTCCGGTCGCCCGGGCCCCAGGTTGGGTGTCTAAGGGCCTCCCTAATAACACCGACGGCCATTTCCACTTTTTGAGTAGTCTTTCCCAGTGTGGCGTGCGCCCCGGGAAGGTCAACCGCCCTGCAAGGCTCCTCAACGGTGCTCTGACATGATTACAACACGCGCACCACCAATGGTCTTGCTGCCACCTCCACTCCCACCATTACCACCACCACTACCACCCCCCGTCAACCACCACAAACCCCGTCTACTACTACTACCACCACCACCCCCTCCCCACTACAACCTACCAATAATAGAAAGAAATTTGAGGATAGTGTGAGCTCAGACAAAACAGCATTAACATCAGAGGTCTGATTCAAGTTGACCGCATTACCAGCAAGCGTAAGAAACAAGGTTGTATCTTTAAGCAGGAGGGGGGGGGGACTCACCAAGAGAAGCCCCGGAGGCATCCAGCGCCATCTGTTGAGGTGGGTGGTAGGTACACACACACACAGCTGGGTCACCCAGGGAAGCGGAATCACCTCTGAATCCCTTCAAGGTAAACACACCCACGCTCTCAGTGTCCCGCTGAACACACCCGGCACACGTTGGGTGTGTTCAGCAGAACTAACACCCAAGCTAGCCGCGGAACGTACCCGCTCCTCGTAGGACACTACGCCGGGTTTGGATGCCGTGCTCATTTTAAGTCTGGTCTTCGTCTTAATCCCTCGTGATATCTCGTTTAACCGACGGGAGACATCTCCCGTCACGCAGGGTGCAGTTGCACCTCCACAGATCTCCAGTATCAGCTCTTGATACTGGTAATGGCTCAAAAGGACCACCACTTACGGGCTATTCATGCCCGTGCTACCTTTTGGGTGGCTTAATCTTCATCAATCAATCTCGTTTATCGTCAGTGTGACAGTGACTTGTGAAGGTGTGGGGGGGGGGGCACGTGTTGTGAATGACGGGATCAGAATAGTAATACACAAACAAAGGTGGGCTGTGAACATGATAATTCAGATGACTGACTATCAGTTCGTACAGAATGAAAACAAATGAAAGTGAGTCAAACTCGCTTGAGAACTGTTCAAAGAATGTCCGTTTGCTTGAGCGGAGAGTTGGGTTGCTTCGGGATTGATTGATTGATGACGATTAAGCCACCCAAGAGGTGGCACGGGCATGAATAACCCATAATTTCCCCCCCCCCCCGTCTGGTGTCACGTTAAATCATCCACACCCCCTCTTTCCTCCCCCCTTCTCTCAAGTGCTCACTGTTCCGGTTCTTTCCCCTCACTACAACCTCCTCCTCTCCCCTCACAACACTTTCTCCTAACGCTCCCCCCCCCCTGATATCGAGGAATCAGTATTGCGGTAAACTTAATGATGCAATTTTCTGTAGTGTGGTTGTCCCTATCACCGTACGGGAGGGGAGGGAGGGGGGGGGTTGTGATGCAGAGGTTTCACCAAACCCCCAACACCAGTGCGTACTGTACAACTCAAGGGTGTTTGCTCTAAGAGTGATCAACCACATAGACTCAAGAATTACATAAGCTCAGCACGATTTTTTTTTATTGTTTCTTCCTCTTAAAAAGCCCAAGATGTCCATGTTTTCTTAAGTCCATTCCCCTTCCTCTGTCTTTCCTTCCTTCTACCTTCTTTCCTTCTTCCTTCCTTCCTCCTGCACCATGAGCACACTGCTGGGTCTGGCCAACATAGTTCAGAGGTGAGAGGTCCAGAGGTCATCGTGCAAGTGAGGTGAAGGATAGAGAAGCGCCAAATTGTTTAGCAAGAAAGCAAGCAAGCAGGCAAGCAGGCAAGAAAGCAGGTGAGTAGTCTGTCAAGTAGGTAAGTAGTGGGTCAGTCTGGAGTTGCAAGCAGGCCAGGTAAAGTAGTCTGGCTGGCAAGTGGGTAGACAAGCAGGCAGGCAGTCTGGCGGGCAGGTTGCCAAAGAGGGCAAAGTACTGGAACACAAGAACCAGTTCGGTTAGACTGTTGTTATACAAGGCCGGGTACTGTGGTTGACTAACAAGGTGTCAAAGTCACTCCTGGTAGATTTGGCATTAGGCCGGGTATATGGTCCTGGGAGATGGGGAAGGTACACGTGGGCAGCGGCCATTTGGCTTGATATTTGTCTAGTTCCGAGCACACATTCGAGGTACACACAGCTGGGTCACCCAGGGAAGCGGAATCGCCTCTGAATCCCTTCAAGGAATCTGGCGTGGATGTTGTACCGGGGGGAGAACTAGTTATATCCACCACCGGGGGGAACTAGCTATATCCACCACCGGGGGAACTAGTTATATCCACCACCGGGGGAACTAGTTATATCCACCACCGGGGGGAACTAGCTATATCCACCACCGGGGGAACTAGTTATATCCACCACCGGGGGAACTAGTTATATCCACCACCGGGGGAACTAGTTATATCCACCACCGGGGGAACTAGTTATATCCACCACCGGGGGAACTAGTTATATCCACCACCGGGGAGAACTAGTTATATCCACCACCGGGGGAACTAGTTATATCCACCACCGGGCATGACCAGGTGGTGGTGGATACCGGTTTGGTCTCGTCTAGGCGGCGGGTTCAATCAAGCTGGTTGTGAAATTTGGTTAGTCATTGTTCCGTTTCGTGGAATTAGTTCACCTTGCCCGAGGCCCGGCGTTCTTAGGCCACGTCCTTGGTGTCCGTTGTTTTTGGGTGTCCGTTGTTCGTGTCCAGCCCCCAACCCACGTTAGCATGATTTTAAAGCCTTTTGACAATATTTTCCTATGCCCTGGAATTCTAATTGGAGGTTAGGAGGGAAAAGTCCAAAAGCTGGACGAGTGGAGAAGCACGGCTCCGGACAAAGGCCAACAGAGGCGCAAAAGAACACCAGTTTAGATAGAAAAATAGAATGATATCGCCGTAAACCTCCAAATATAATAAAAACTGGGGGGCGTAGGAGAAAGGGGGGGGGGAGTTAGAGGGGGGGGGGGAAATGGGGGGGGGGGGTTGACCTGGATTAAAGTAAAGGTTCTTTGGCACTGCCGCCTCCATAGAAAGTGTTCGATACCCTCACCTCTTGGTCACGTCGTGACACGCCTCCACCCACACTCTTACTTGCCCCGGCGGCTGCTGCTGCCCGGGGTGGGTGGGGGGGGGAGGGAGATGGTTTGGGTGGACAGGGGTCAAAGGTCGCTCTGGAAAGACCTTGGCCAGGTTTTGTCGTGACGTATTCATCGCCTCACCTTATCCCCCCCCCCTCGTCCCCGCCCCCCTCGTCTCCTTGCAACAGTCTTGTCTGCCTCCACTACTTTCTTGGCTATCCCCCCCCCCTCTCACCACCTTAGCCTAGCCTACTGTCCTCGCCACACAACTCTTCACAATATATGCCCCCCTTTCCCCTGAATATATATATTACGGGCTCACCATAGCCCGTGCTACATGGACACTTCGTCCTGAGTAGCTAAATCTTTTAACAACAACAACCCTGAATATATGTTGGAACCCAATAACTTTGTTCCACTACGGGCTCACCATAGCCCGTGCTACTTTGAACTTTTTGTTCCATGTAGCCAATCTTAAACAGCAGCAGCATTCCCTTGAAAGTATACTACTTAGCAGGCTCCCCGCTCCCCCTCTACCAACAAGCCACTGGGTACTAGTCTCTTGAGCCTGGCAAAAGATGTCCAGAGACATTGCAGTAGCCATACACAGACTCAGACTTGGTTACAAGTGCTGCTGGGAGGTAATAAACACAATAGTTAGTGTCATATTTGTGGGCCAGATGCAGAGGCGCCACTATTGCACTACTTACTGGAATGTGAAGCTACTGAAGCCCTGCGCATCAAACTCAACATTAATCCAATGACAGCAGCTGCATTAGATGCATATTCAACCGCGACTACAATGATTAGAAAATAATTTGAAGAATGAAACACACTAGTGAACATTATGCCTCTATTTCCGCCACCAAGATAATATGTTATTAAAACAAGACTAAAACCAGTGCGCTAAAACAGAAGCGGAAAAGAAACGGGAGAAAAGGAGGAAACCCCACCTCCATTTAAAACTTTGACCCAAATATCACAAGTAACAAGATGACCCAAATATCACAGTTCATTTGATGCATCACGTTAGTGTGATCTCTGTGTGTGATCACAGTAACAAGGTTATCGGGAATAACGGAACTCAATTACGGGTTCACTATAGCCCGTGCTGCATGGACATTTCGATCTGAGTAGCTAAACCTAAAACCACCACCACCCCCTGAACAAATCCACAAGGACCGTGACGAGGATTCGAACCTACGTCCGAGATCAAAGTCAAGACTCCAACCTAGAACAATCTCCCCCTCACCCTCTCTCCCCCACTCACCCCTCACCCTCCTCACCCTCTCTCCCCCCTCACCCTGACCCCCAACCCCCTCCCTACTCACTAATATGCGTTACGGCACATCGCCTTGGAAGAAATGGTCCCGAGCACTGAAGAAAGTTGTCATGATTCATGCGTCGCGGGGAGCAGCCTTTGTTTTTCTTTGTATTTTCTTAAGTTAAATTAAAAAATATGATTCTATATTTAAGATAATTATATAAATGCTCTAACTTGAACATTAAACAAATCTGAATCCCTGAAGGTGTGACATCACACACACAGAGATCACACTAACACAGAGATTAAGGCAGTGTCTGGGATGCTCCCGGACGCAGGTTCGAATCCTCGTCACGGCCCTTGTGGAT